AATAGAGAAGAGAAAAAACGGAAAGCAAAAGAGTTTTGAAAGATGAAAACATAGAAGGGAAAAAGTAATGAATGAATGTTTGTATAAAAAGAATACATAGATTGATGAAGTAATGAAAAAAGGGAAGAAACTAGGAAGAACAAAAAAAAATTTTAATAAAAAGGGAACAAAACAATGTCGGAAAGAAAAAAAAGAAAGAAAGAAAAAAGAAAGAAAGAAAAAAGAAAGAAAGAAAGACATTTAGATAGAGGGGGACGAGAAAGCAAAAGCTAATAAGAAATAGGAAAAGCAATAAAGAGACCGGAAGGGCGACTGTTTAGGGACTTAAGATTGAGACAAAAGAAATATTATATGACCGAAATGGACTGATGAAAAACAAATAAAGAGAGAGAGAGAGAGAGGGAGAGAGAGAGAGAGAGAGAGAGAGAGAGAGAGAGAGAGAGAGAGAGAGAGAGAGAGAGAGGGGAGGCGCGGGGGTGGAAAGGGGGTGAGAGAGACGTGGGGAAACGGAGAAGAGGAGGTATGCGTGCTGTTATAGGGTGTATGAGAGAGTGAGAGAGAGTGAGTGAAAGAGAGAGAGAGTGAATGAGTGAGTGACAGAGTGACAGAGAGTGAGTGAAAGAAAGAGAGAGTGAGTGAGTGAAAGAAAGAGAGAGTGAAAGAAAGAGAGAGAGACATAGAGAGAGAGAGAGACATAGAGAGAGAGAGAGAGAGAGAGAGAGAGAGAGAGAGAGAGAGAGTGAGAGAGAGAAAGAGAGAGAAAGAGAGAGGGAAAGAGAGGGGGTTGGGGAAATCGGGTGATGTTACACTAACCTCTTTTGACCACTTGGTGTGGAACCATCCCTGAGCACACGATCCCATATCACAGATCTCTTCCACCGAAGGCTTCACCTGAGCGCTGCACAGACGTACACTGACCTCTGACTCTTCCGTGTCCACGCAAGTGACGTCACGAGTTCTCTGCCCGAAGCCACATTCGCTGGAACACTGAGATGTCATTGGAAAAAAGAGGCATGAATGTAAATCTTAAGCTGTTGTGGGTAAAGCTGCATCATTGTGAGACCTCGACTTCAACAGAAAAGAAGAAAACAAAATAGCTGTGATATATATATATATATATAGATAGATAGA